TTTCCCGACACCAAGCCCTCGGTAGATCTCATACACCCTGGCCTCAGAGCGCTTGTCCATAAGAAGAGGTGGTGGTAGGGGGTAGGATTCTCTGTCCTGCTAACCCTCCCCCCCAATGCTCAACCTGTTTCTGCAGGCATTGCTGACTATACCCCCAAGGATGGACAAACCATCGAGCTGAGGCTGGTTAGCTGGTAGTCCCTGGGCTCACCCACCCCAGCCGCCTGGCCTACCTCCGGGGGCCTCCGCCTGCTCTCCAGACATCGCAGTAACAGACACGCCCAGCCCTGCTGCTACCTCACATGTACTTGGAGCAGTGTCTCCTGGATTACTCAGCCACCACCCTTGCCAAGGTCCTCAGCCACCCCCCACCCTGAATCAGGGAACCACGCACCTTCCCTGGGGGGCTGTCTGCTGGCGTCTGGCCCCTCCTGGCCCCACTGGCATCCCCCGAAGGCCTGCTCCTGGTCGGAAGGGGTCTAAAGCAGCTCAGCCTCCTCAACACAAGGAGAAGTCACCGGCCACTGGTGTCGTGAGTACTGCCCCCTCTGGGACTGGGGTCCTGCAAGGAGGCCTCTCTGGCCCTGGGGGCTTGGGCCCTGATCCCTGCTCTGTACTCTGGCCTTCAGGACTGCAGAGTGGCTGCTGGGGGGCGCTGCAGAGCTGCTCAAAGCCTGCCTCTGGAATGATTAAAGTGTTGATTGTGCACCTGCCCTGGTGTCCCGATGCCTCAAGCTCACGACTAAGTACCAGGGGGCTGGAGCACAGAAAGAGGGGGCCCCTGGGGGCAGCACAGGAAGGCGGGGGAGGGGGCTGGGAGGGAGCCCTGCTGGCGGTGCCAACACTGATTACTGTTGAGGGAATACCTCCTTGCTAGACGCTTCCTCGCACAACTCTGAGTTTGTGGGTATTTTTGTTTTCATCTCTGCTTTGCGGATAAGAAAATTGGTACTCAACAAGGGCGTGTGACTCATCCACAATGTCAGGTGGGGGACATGGCTGAAGAAAAGCAGGCCTGGCCTGAGGTGACCTCCTGGCTCTTGCACTCAAACACTGAAAATTGGGGGGCTTCCAAGGTATTTTTAATTACATGGCAGAACCCAGGAGCTTAGAGCATTTTTTTTTCCCCCCAACACAGGGTACCTCCCCAGGCCTCAGTGGCCTGGGGCCAGGGACCTTGCCTGTTAGTGGGAGGGCCCTGAACTCTGGGCTGACTTCTGGGAAGTAGGGTTCAGGCCAGGAAGACACCCCACATGCCCCACCTCACTGAGGTTAGGAAGTGGGGCCTGCCTTCATGGGGGCTCTCTGATAAGAGTGTTACATAGATGCCTCTTTCTAGAGCTCCAGTTTCAAATATTTGGGGCCTGGGGAGGGAGGGGAAGTAGGTGATTTAAAAAATTCATATATTGAAATAATCATCAGAATATCAGAAAGCCACACAGAGATGCAGCCTGTTTTCAAGATGAAATATCTGAGCCCAGGACCCCAGAGGGCTTGGCTTGTTCACTGTCCCTTCTTGATCACCATCAGGGGTGCTTCTCAGAGGATTCAGAACCTGCTCTGGGCTCTGTGGTTCTTCTACAGTCCTGTCAAAGAAGGGTGGAGACTCAGAGAGGGCTGAGTGACCTTGTCCAGGCTGTGTGACCTGGAGGTGGCAGAGCCCAGATCCTCCCCCGTTGACCACAGGCCCTAGGTACTTGCCACTTCAGTACCCGGCTCCCTCCTCACTGGACAAGACACCAGGTGAGGAAGCCACAGGCCCCTCCCACAGAGAGGATACTGGCAGTGGCAGGTCTCAGGCCAGGCTAGAGAGAGGATGGACAGGAACGATAGGGACCCCCCTGCACTGGGCATTTGAGGGTGCACAAATGGGGTGTGATCTACCCTCCAAAGGGACTATTTTAGTTGGGGTGTGTTTGGCTCTGAGGAGCAGGAAACTACTGAATCCTACTCAGATCAAAGGATATTGGCTGAAAAAACCCAGCCCACCAACTCAGGGGCAGTCAGGGGTGGTAGGGAAATGGAAGTTAGGGCTCAAATTCTATCACCTCCACCATGCTCACTAGTCTCTGTGTCTTTCCCTCATCAGCTTCTTCTGAGTATGGCCCGAGCAGTGACTCTGTCACCTTCCAGTTCAATTCCCCAGCCCCCTCTCGCTTCCTCAGCCTATGTCCCAAAGCCTAGAGAGGGGGTCTGTCCAGCCCAGCCTACCTATGGATTCTGGGCCCGGTGTCTAGCCTGGCACAATCTGCTGGACCCTGAGAAGGGGTGTAGGTGAGAGCACAAGCATGTCTGGTGCAGGGCCCCATAGTGAGAGTCTGATAAACAGAAGCCCTCCCTGGGGATTGAGAACCAGGTTTGTGTCTCACCGGCATTTAGATCTGTAGACCTCCAGACAGACCACTTCTCCTCTCTCACAATCCTGGGATGGCACCTGGGTTTGCTTAGCATGTTCATGCCTGTGAGCTCATGTCACAGGTGGGGAAACTGAGGCCCTAGCAGTGAAATGATTTATCTAGGGACATGCAGTGATGATAGAGGTCTGTCCCACAGCCTCTGCAGCCCAGTTGCTAGAAATGGGTTCTTCTCCTGGTGGCCCCCAGAGTCCCTTCCTGAATCACCTGCTTCCAGGCGGGGCCCCAAAGGGCAGCAGTCGGATGTGAGGGATTTGGGAGTCTGTGGGCAAGAGCAGCCTGCTCTGGGGGGCTCTGGGCTTTTGGATGGAACCCAAGGACCATGAAACAGCCCCATTTTTGCATAGGGGAAAATCCTATGGAGAGTCTTGGGGTCTACAAGTCAAGGCGGGTTAAAAACTGGGGCTCTAGGGGGTGTCTCAGTGGCCTTCCGCTCAGGCCATGATCTCAGGGTCCTGGGATCAAGCCTAGCCTCAAGCTCCCTGCTCAGTGGGTAGTTTGCTTCTCCCTGTCCCTTTGCCTCCTCCCCCTGCTCATGCTCTGTCTCTGTCTCTCTCTCAAGTAAAGAGAATCATAGGGGAAAAAAAAAAACAACAACTTGGGGCTCTGGTCCCAGACAGACCTAGTCTGAATCCCCCACCTGCACTCAGGCTGCACAGTCCCTGCTTTGAGCTGTGCCCTCAGCCTCTCCCTTGCCCCCCACCACAATGTGGGCAGCTCTGTCCATCCCACCATGGCCCAATCAGGCCTCATCTTGAATAATCCTCTAACCTACCCCTTATCAGGCATGGCAGGTAGGAGCTGCTTGGAAGAGTTGTAAACACTGTGTATCACTCCCTGCTCTGAGAAGGTCAGGGTGTTTAATAGTTTTTAAATTACTTTAATTTTAATTAAAGGAAGCTTCCTGGAAAATGACAAAATCTGAAAAAGAATATAATCCTTAGGGGGCACTGATTACTCTTCTTCAGGAAGTGGGGGTGGGGGGAGATTGCCCCTTGGCTAGCTCAGTTCTCTCCCACAACCCCTCCAGGAGGAACCCTGTCTAAATACCCCTTTATTTGAGTCCTTGACCTGGAAACCCCTTGTCCTAGAATTTGGGCCATTAACCAGCTATTTGCAGGCTCCAGCAGGCATCGGAATCACCAGAGGCAAATGTAAAAATGCAGATTCCTGGGCCCACCAGAGAGCGTTTGATTCACCAGGTCTCCGGTGAAAATGAGGGCGGGTGCCGGGGGTACCGGGTGGGGGAGGCAGAGGACATAGGCTGTGCAAATCCTTGTCCAGTGATTATGATGGAGCTTGGGGGACACTTGTCGTTCCGCTGTCTGACCACGAGGCGGCGCCGCGGACCGAGCTAAGTGGTTCCCTTTGCGGTCTTGTTCCTCCGGACACGCTGGTGTCCTCAGGACTTGCTGGTCAGACAACAGGCCAAGGGTGAGCTGTGTTCCGGTGGGCAACTTCTGCAGGGAAGGAAGCCTGACGTCAGAAAAGAGGCTCGCAGCTGGCAGTGGGCACCAACCTGCGCCAGGCATTCCACCTTGGTTTCTGCGCACTTGGACTCCAGAACTCAGAGTCCAGGGTCCAGCCTGGAATGCGAATCAGCTTGTTCTGCTCTGGGGTGCGCGGTTTACCCAACCCTGAGCAAGGAGAGCATCCGTCGTTCAGATGGGAAAGGAGAGACCCAAACAGGGGCAAGGGCTTAGTGGCAGCTGCTCTGGCTCCCAGCCCTCCCGGGGCTCTTTGTCCTGCTAGGACTTGGGGCAGAGGGTGGACCCCAGGAAGTTTAGCTGTGAGTCAGTTCTGAGTGCCCAGGGGATGGGACAGGGGCTGCTGGCCAGGGATAGATGCTGGCTGGTACCCGGCTTCCACAAATGTGGGTGGCCTTGGTGATTCAGTTTCCCTGTGCCTGCCTAGGAGGGCCGGCCCTGGATTGGGAGAGGGAGGAAGTGCTGGGAATAGGGAGGGGCCTTAAGGGGCCCGGTGGTCCAACTCTTCTGGATGCTGAGGTCCCACGGAATAACTGTGGCCAGAGATCGAGTGGCCCCGAGACTGATCCTGGGATGAGGGTCCCTGGGTGGGGGTCCTTGAAGATGTAGTCCCTTGTGAGGCTGGGGGGGTGGTTATCGGGCTCCCTCAGAAAGGCACCTCACTATCCCCGCCCTGCGTTGGTCTCTATCAGGGGCTTGCCTTGGCGCTGGGTGTGGAGGGTCCTGATCCCTCGCTGGTAGGGGAGGGGGGGACAGGCAACCTGGCCACTCCAGCTGGGGGACTCTGCTGATGGAGGGACTACGCTGATGGAGGGACTACGAGGAGGATGGAGGAGGGGCTGTGAGAGGGCGGCTTGGGGGAGGAGCGAGATATCGCTCCTGGCTCCGGGGGCGGGGCCTCGCCAGGGGCGGTGCTGTGGGCTCCCCTCAACTTTCCGGGTGGGGCGCGGGCGGCGGCGGTGGAGGCGGGGCCTAAGAGCGCGGGGCCTCGCCTGCGGGGCTGGCGGGGGTTGAAGCCTGGACCGAGCTGCCGCGGGAGCCGCAGCGCGAGCCGCAGCGCGAGCCGCTGGGAGCCGGAGCCGCCAGGAGCCGGAGCTGGAGCGCAGGCCCTGCCGGAGCCTAGCCGAGCCGAGCGAGCTCGTCGCCTGGCACCGGCCTGAGCGCGGGCCGGTGTGTCAGCTAGCCGCTGGGCCTGGTCGCATTGTCGGAGGAAGCGAGCCGCGACCACCGGGCAGCACCGGGAGCCGGTGCCCGGATCGCCCCTGCCGGGCCTGGGCCCGGCCTGAACAGCCGTAGGTCGCGGAGTCTGGATCGAAGAGAAAAAGGAACGAGGATTATATCTAATCGTGGAGTGGGCTTAAAAGCGCGAAGAGTGGGGACGTCACCTGGGATTGGGCAGAGGTGCCTGCAGCGTACTAGGCCAGCTTGAGCACCGGAGAGCCTGGCATGCCAGCCGCTCGGCCTGGGTTTGGCCGTGCTGGAGCCAGGAGCACAGCATAGCTCCCAGACCTTAGCTGGCACAGGCCTGGGACAAGAAGCAGTGTCCTCACCTAAGACTGGGCCCAGAATCTGAGGAACTGGGATCTGGCCTGGCCCAGAGTGGGACTCTCTGGTGGCCCAGAGCTGGTCACTGGGGAACTGTCCTCCTGCCCCATACCCACTGGTACGGATGTGTCGCTGCCTGCTGGAGCACCATGATGGCAGGATGACCTCAGCAGAGGCAGTGGCAGCAACTAGTGGTGCACGGGTGGCTGGGTCCCCCGAGTGGCGCCCCGACACCCCCCAGGCCCTTGGGCAGCCTGGCCGGGCCCGGGTGGCAGTGGCAGCGCTGGTGTGGCTGCTGGCAGGGGCCAGCATGTCGAGCCTCAACAAGTGGATCTTCACTGTGCACGGCTTCGGGCGGCCCCTGCTGCTGTCTGCGCTGCACATGCTGGCAGCAGCACTGGTGTGCCGCTGGGGGGCACAGCGTCCCATGCCCCGCCACACCTGCCGTCAAGTGCTGCTGCTCAGCCTCACCTTTGGTACCTCGATGGCCTGTGGCAACGTGGGCCTGAGCTCTGTGCCCCTGGACCTGGCACAGCTGGCCACCACCACCACACCGCTGATCACGCTGGCCCTGTCGGCGCTGCTGCTGGGCCGGCGCCACCACCCGCTGCAATTTGCCGCCATGGGACCCCTCTGCCTGGGGGCCGCCTGCAGCCTGGCTGGTGAGCTCCGGACCCCACCCGCGGGCTGTGGCTTCCTGCTGGCTGCTACCTGCCTCCGGGGCCTCAAGTCCATACAGCAGAGTGAGTGCCTGGGCCACCGGCTGAGAAGGTGGGGCTTGGGGTGGGTGTGTGGCCTGGATGGCCCTGAGGGGGGTATGGCTATTATCCCTTTTTCCAGACGGAGAAACTGAGGTTCATGCCTTTGGAAAAGGGAGACACTGAGGCTTGGAAAGGACCGACAGCGCAGAGAATCCAAAGCCCCCAACTTAGGGTCTAGACTCCAGCTGATATTTGATAACAGTTGCTGTTGATCTGTCTCATATTTTGTCAGGCCCTTTATCTCATTGGATCTGGCCATACTGCCCTGATGAAGGAAGTCACTGTATTGTCCATTGACGGGTAGAGAATTGCCCTGGGTCACGTGGCTAGTGAGAGGCAGCGGCAAGATCTGACCCCAGGTAGTCAGACTCCGTGCTGTCCAAGTGATGTGGTGTGAGGCCTTGGACCCCGAGGGAGATCTGATAGTGGGGACCCAGGAGTGAGAAAGAGGGTGAGACCTTGAGCTGGGATTTGGAAGCCGAGGAGTTTGGGAAAGGGCTATGTTTATTGGGAGCTGCAATGTAACAGGCCCCATGCTGGGTGTTGACCTTGAATTGCCATGGCAACTACCACCTTCACTCTCATTTGCTAGGCCAGGGACCAAGACCTAGGGGTTCATGATTTGTCCCAGGTCACCTCACCTCTGAAGAAAGGAGATGGGGGGCTCTGGGCAAAAGGCGAGGTGGAGGCTCCAGGCCTAGACCCTGTTAAATCCCTGTGTGTGACGGTAATGCCTTCCTGTCTGTCTTACCAAGGGACATCTGAGTCTCAGTCCCCACTGTCTCTCTGCCTCAACCTAAGGGAGATGTGGGGGAGAGCAGGATGCCCACTCGGGGTGGGGAGGCCTGGGATCCAGCCACACCTTTGCTCATACTTGCTGGTCAGCTTTGAGCAGATCTGGGTCTTATCCGGGCCTCAGTCTCCCTATCTGTTCAGAGGAGGAGGATTGGAGTTGATGGAGTTCCATGGGCGTCTTGCTGTGTCCCCCTTCCAGCCCTGAGATCTGTGACCCAGGCCTGGGAGAAGAAGGAGGGGGCTTCAAGGGAGCCCTGGGCTGGGGTTGGGGGCAGCCTGCAGGCAAGGGAAGGTGGAAATCAGAGCTCAGCCATTCCCTGGCATCTTCAGAGTCAGAACTCGGAGGCCCTGTCCCCATCCTCTTGGGCCCTGAGGCCGGGCCAAAGCTCCCTTCTATTTTTGCCTTCGGGTTACATGAGAACTGGTGACTGAGCTTGGGCCTGAGTTCTGGGCATGAGTCGGCAGCGGGAAACCTGACCTCTTGCCCTCCCACCCCCACCCCATCCTGGGGCAGGGTCACAAGGCTGGGAAGGCCCCAGCCTTCAGGCCCATAGCATGCCTGCTTCTCACCTAGGCCTCAGGCATGAAAGAGCAGGTGCCTGGCATTGGTCTGTTTCTTGGCTTCTGCCAGCTCCCTCCTTCTCTCCCGAGTGTCAACCGCCTGGCCCTCAAGGTGGGTGAGGTGTGTCCTCCAGGCTCCCACAGCATCCTCTGCTTCCCTTCTCACAACTGTGATGTCCCGTATTGTAGCCACTTGGCTACCTGATTGCATCCCACCAGACAGGAGCGCTGAGAGGGCATGGACTGGCTTTGGACATCTCCATGTCCCCCAGTACCCAGCCTTGAAGCCTGGCACAGCCACGTACTCCTTCAATGGTTAGGTTATTAATGGTTCTGATAGCAGAATTGGCAGGCTGGTTAGGGTACATGGCTCAGGGTGCTAAGGAGGGAGCTTAGGAGGCTGGAGGGCACCCCCCCAACCGAGCTGGGAGCCTGGCAGAGATGGGGGAACAGACTGGAGCCAGGAAGTGAGATGGGTTTTGGACAAGAGGAGGTTTCTACTTCCAGGGGCTCCAGATTCAGACTAGAGTGCAAATGGCAGGCTGAGAGCAGACTCCATGGAGAAGGGGTGAGAGGCCAGAAGAGGAGCACCCAGGCAGCCATGGGCAGGGCTGGTCACTTCCTTACAATCTGGGCCACTTGCAGGCCAGGGTGGGGCTACGCTCCCAGAAAGGCTGGGAAGTGGGGTGCCAGCTTGCTGAACCCACCTGCAGCAGAGAGCAGTCTGACTTGGTCCCTGCTTGAGCTCTCAGGCCGGTGGGGAGATGCACTCAAGAGGCAGAGACTTCAAGGACAGGAGAAAAGTTCTAGAGCCAAGGTGGGCACAGGTGTGGTCAGGGGTGGTTTCTGCTTCCTGAGGAGACAAGAGGAAAGGGCATTCTGGGAGTGAGAAGCACGCCTTGCCAGGGGCCCGGGTGGCAGCCAGCAGGGGCAGTGTGGGGATCATGACAGCTCTTGTAGAGAGCAGTCGCCACCGGGCACTAGGTCCTGGGCTCAGCGCCTCGCATGCTCCCGTGAGCAGGGGTGTTGTCACACACGAGGAGATGAGGCCTAGAGTGACTTGTGTGATGTCACACAGCTAGTGATGGAGCAAAGTTGGGCTAAGCCAGCAGCCAGCGGAACAGAGGGTCTAAAGAACATTTGTCTGTCTGTGGCAGAAGCCTGGGTGTGTTCAGATGCTGAAACAAAATTGCCTTTAGAGAAGGAGAGGTTGGAATAGAGGGTTTGATGGGGCTAGGCGGGGAGGGGTCATTCAGAAGGCAGGACCGTAGGCTGGCATTTGGGGGCCCTGGGCGGGACGAGTGGCCTGTGGCAGAGGACCACTGTTCTTTCCCTCGGCTGCAGGGAGAGCAGGCAGAGGCTGGGTGGGATGCAGAATGGGCACAAGGCACTGGAGGTGGTGGGGAGGTTAGGACCTTCTTGCCTGGCTACATCACGGAGGCTGAACTTCAAGGTGAAGTTCACCTCAACACCTTCTAATGATGGGACCTTTAACGGACAAGCCACGTGCTGCTTGCTTGTAATAGTGCTAAATTTGGAGTGAATGAGCAGGAGGCATTCCAATTATCTGTTCATTTCTAGAAATGCTTGAGCCGGAGGGACAGTTGCCTAGAGAACAAAGCCAAAACATCAAAATGAAATCGAGAGAGAAGTACAGTTTTCCTCTTCTAGCCTATGAGTAAGCGCCCCTATGGCTCTTTGGAAAGCGTGTGTCAGAAAATGCACAGAGGCTCCAAGAGCCCCGGGAGGGGGCCCCGATCAATTACTCATCTCTCTCCACTCAAGCTTGGAGAAGGCCCCAGAACATCATCGCTGGTGTGCAAATACTGTCATTTCACCCAACTTTGACGATGGGCACTGCTTCCTTTGTGAACAGCTGAGTATTAACATATATAAGCGTAGACACACACACACAGACACACGCATGCACACTCGGGCACACATTCGCCCATATGCAAGCTGGTACGATCCTCTCTTTGCTTGCAAAACCAAAAGGTTTCTGCTTAGTCCTGGATTCATCTTGACAAGACTTAGTGTTGGTAGTAGCAAAAGATGTTGATTATGAGTTATAAACAGGGAGGGACAGCCAAGGGCAAACAATGACTTTCTTCTTGTTTGCCAGTCATTCATCCCAGGGGTCATAAGTGAATGAAGCAATGAATGAACCCACCATCTGACTCCAATTTATTATCATAAAACTTTTTTTTTTTTTTGCTAGGAAGTGGCAGAGCTGGGACCTTCTGCTGGCTTGTCTGCTGCTGTGGTGGTGGGCGCTGCGGTGTGGGGGGGTGGGTAAGGACGGAGATCAAGAAAGGTGGATCAGGGTCACTTGGTACAGGGCCTTTGGAGCTGGTTAAGAAACTAGGCTATTTTTCTCCAGGTTCTGGGAAGCCTCCGAAGTTTTTTTTTTGGAGCCACAGTTCATGTTTTTTTATCTTTTGGCTATCACAAGCGGATTATCCTTTCAGGCTGTGGAAGGCAGTTGGAAGTGGATGAAAACAGCCTTATTAATTTACCTTTTTACATTGAGTGAGCACTTACCCTACAAAGGCTTTGTGTCCTCTCTTTTAATCTTTACAACAACACCATGTGTGAGGTGTTGTCGCCTACCTTTGCAGGTGACACAGAGGTTAAGTGCCAGGTCCCAGTTGGTAAGGAGTGGGTATAGGTCACAGCCAAGGGAACATGGGTGGATTCTTGACCGTCATGGGAAGGAGCAGGAGCTACAAATATCGCCTGAGGGATTGGTGCAGGCTTCCGGGGTGATTGATGGGCCCCGGAGCCCCTGCGGGGTCGTCCAGGTTGTGGGTTGGGGGAGCTGTCTACCTCTGGGTGCTGATGGCTGTTGTCCTGGTTGTAGGTGCCCTGTTACAGGAGGAGAGGCTGGACGCGGTGACCCTGCTGTATGCCACCTCGGTGCCCAGCTTCTGCCTGCTGGCGGGTGCGGCCCTGGTGTTGGAGGCCGGTATGGCCCTGCCACCTGCTCCCACCAGCTCCCACCTCTGGGCCTGCGTCCTGCTCAGCTGCGCACTGTCCGTGCTCTACAACTTGGCCAGCTTCTCCCTGCTGGCTCTCACCTCCGCCCTCACCGTCCACGTCCTGGGCAACCTCACTGTCGTGGGCAATCTCGTCCTGTCCCGACTCCTGTTTGGCAGCCGCCTCAGCGCCCTCAGCTACGTGGGCATTGCACTCACCCTTTCAGGAATGTTCCTTTACCACAACTGCGAGTTCGTGGCCTCCTGGGCTGCCCGCCGGGCCTTCTGGCAGAGGGACCGGACTGGCAAAGGTCTTTGAGACCAAGGGACCAGCTGGGCTCCTTGGATCAGCCCCAGCCTGAATCCAACCTTGGCCAATGGCCATGGGAAAAGCAGAGAGCAGGCAGCCACTGGGGCCTTGGGAGAGAGGTGGTGGGGGAGCCTTCTGGAAGGACCATCTTGGAGGCTGGAATGGGGATTCCCAGAGAGAAACCACCTCCTGTCCCTTGCCTGCCTCTCATCACGGACCTCACTCACCACTGGATGGTGGGTCCAGACCTGGCACAGTCACTGTGCTTAAGGGACTGATTATCACGATGAGCACCAACTACTACTCCAAAAATTGCTGGCCAAACTTTGAAGACCTCACCGTGTTCTGATGACGACGATGATGATTCTTGGCGATTGCACAATCCTTCCTCCAGGAAGTGGGGGAGGTAGCTAGGGGGCCCAGGGAAGGGCTTCTTTGTTGCTAGGATCCCCTGGGGATTGGGGTCATCTATGCCAACTCCAGGCAGCTGCTGTAGCCTCACCCCTAGGCCTCCCAATTTTGGGTCTTCCATCCTCAAATAAACTATTTTTGCTTGTAGAACTGTGTCATTCCTCAGGGTGACAGCCAAGGAAATACAGGGAGAGCTCTGGGCCTGTTGGCTGCTAGGTCCCCTACCCAGAAACAAAGACATTCCTGCTTACCCATCAGGGCCTGTCTGGGCCCCCTTCTCTTACTAGCCAGGCTGCCATTGCTCACATTCTTCATGGTGACAATGGTTTCCTCCCTGCTCTGCTCTAGCTTCTCTACTTTACCTTCTACATAGCCCCAGAAGGTTATTTCTAAAACACACACCTTCTGGGGCTCTATACTGCTCCTGGGCTAAAGTCAGAACTTCCTGCCCCAGACCACAAGACCATTAGGATCTGGCCCCCGCGGCCTCACCAGGTTCCTGTCTCACTTCCTTTCCTCGGGCTCTACCTCCCGTCCTTACCAACAGGCACCTGGCCTGGGAAGGACAGGCTCAGGGTTTCCTGGCCCTGGTCTCCACCCAGGCTGGCCTTTTGGAGGGGAAGTGGGCCCAGGCTGAGTCACTCACTACCCACCCTGCCTGTGACTCAGAGATGCCGCTGGCCCAGCCCTGTCCCTGTGCAGCCTGGGCATTTCCAGCCTCCCCTCTGAGGCTTGGCCAGACAGGATGGATCAGATGTCTCTGCCTGAGCAGAGCCTCACTAGTACTCTGGACCCTTTTCTCTTTCCAGGGAGTCCCCTGCCCAAGTAGGAGCCTCCCTGCAGCACCCTCGCCCTGGCTCCCGGACACCCATGGAATGCTTGGTGGAAGGGTGAGCCTGCCCCAGCCCCCAAACCCCATCAGATCAGAGCCAGCCCTTGGTGGCTATGGGCGCAGGGCCAGGGTGAATTGGAGCCCTGCTTGACCCGGGGATGGACTTGTCACCAGACTCAGGACTATCCAGCATTGAGGATATTCCTTCAAGGTCATATTTAAAGCCCTCCCTGGGCTTTGTATCAGAAAACCCGGGCTTGTATCTTGGCCCCCTTCCTCGCTGTGTGGACCCTCTCATTTGGTCTCTCAGTATCATGGGGAGTGGGCAGTGAGGATTGCTGGAATAATCGGTGGGAAGGGCTTAATGGGTGATTTCCATCACAGGCCACTGCCCCTCTGGGCTCTGCCTCTTACTAGTTGATTGCCTCAGGCAAGTCACTCCACCTCTTCAGGACTCAGTCTTTGTACGCAGTCCCTGCTGGGAAGCCTTGTGCCCAGGAGAACAGAGGTCACGTTCCTTGGGAAGCTCTTTCCTACCCCTACTGCTGTCCTGCCCCATGCCAAGCTGAGTCAAGAGCTGCAGCTAAAGGTGCCCCCAGCTCCCTGCACTCAAGTGGGGCACTGAGCCCATCCCACTGTCAGAACTAGTTTGTCACTTCTCTTCTCCACCAGACTGGGCTCTGGAAAGGCAAGACAGCTGTCCTGCTCATCACTGTCTCCCCAGCACCAGCACAGTGCCTGGCATGGCTAGAGTAGGTGAAAGAGAATACTAGCCAAGAACAGGGGTCAGACCTGGGTCCAAACCCCAGCTCTGGTGTGTCTAAGCTGTGTGACCCCGGGCGAGGGCCTTTGCCTCTTGTGCCTCTGTGTGTTAAGTGGGGGGCAGCAGTAGAACTGAACCCTGGCTAGCTGGGGGGATGGGAGGGTTCAGAGGGGCCTGCAGTGGGCTAATGTGTGGCAAGTGCTTAGCAGTAGTGCCTGAAACCCAATAGGTCCTCAAGAAATGTTAGCAGAATAACTCACAACAGAACTAACAGAACTCCTAGTTCCTCCCCAAGGCTTTTCATAGGAGCCACTTCCCTCCGGCTCAGTCTTCCATTGCACATTGAGAGCCCCCCCCTCACCCCAGGGCTTGCTCTTAGAGCACAGTGGGAGGGATGCCCCAGCTCCCACCCCCTTGCCCTGCTTTGGAGGAAGCCGAGGATCTGGGTCTGTGCTGGGCGTCTTGCCATTGTGGATTCAGAACAAAGCTCCTGCCTTGTCTTAGCCCCAGCTGCCAGGGGGCCCCTCCCTGCCTCCCCAGGGGGCCCTGGGATTGTCATTCCAGAGGCCAGAGCAAACAAGGGCTCTTCTTGCTCTCTGATCTGTTCCCACATCAGCTCAGGGAAGCCAGAAACTCCACCATCGCACTGCCCCTGCTACTTCCTGGAAAGAACACCCGATGCATTGGAGAGCCACGGGAGAGGCCGTGAGCAGGCGAGAGCCATGATGTTCAACACATATTTCTTGAGAGTGGCCCTTTAGTTTCCTCTGGATCCTATGCGGAGGGGAAACGGAAGGGGAATTGACAGGTTGTAGAGAGATCTAGGAAGAGGTACTGTGGTCCAGAGGACAGTGGGGACAGTGTCCTGGGCACAGCACAGAGTACCATCAGCTGTGTAGATTTGGGGTAACAAATCATCCCCAAACATTGTGGCTTAAAGCAACACACGTGAATTATCTGACAGTTTCTGGGGCTCGGGTATTTGGGACTGGTTTAGTGGAATAGCTCTGGAAGTCACCCAGGGCTGTGGCTCATATGAAGGCTTGACTGGAGCTGGAGGGTCCACTTCCAAGATGGGTCATCCACTCGTCTGTTGGCAGGTGGCCTCGGTTCCTTGCCACGTGGGCCTCTCCACAGGGCATCCTGAGTGTCCTCATGACGTGGTGGTTGGCTTCTCTCAGAGTGAGTGATAAAGAGAGCCAAAAGCCACAATGTCCTTTGTGACCCAATTTCAAAAGTCACACTCCTTTCTCTAATATCTTCAATTATTACTTAACTTGAATGCTGTCATTTCTCTGATATCTTAGGTCAACCCTACTCAGTAGGGGCCCTCCTACCTTGGCTACCCTAAGGGCAGGAATACCAAGAAGGAGGGCTCTGTGAGGTCAGCTCAGGCTGGCTGCCATATCAGCGAATGTTCGAGAGACCGAGAAGGACACAGCTTGGGGCCACAGGGAACGAGGCTCCAGGTGGGATTTTGTTGGCCACACCTCCATGTCCTCCCAGATATAGCACATTATGATCCTGCCCACAGTGAACATTTTGGCAAATGTCTGCTCAGTGAGGGCCGGAGGCTGCTTTCTGTGCTCCCCACTCGCAGCTGAGAGAAGGTCTGGGCTCCTTCGCCTGGTATTTGAAGCCCTGGATGCTTTGTTATCTCCAAGCCCACTCCCTGTGATTCTTCTGGCCAGATGAAGCCACCCCCTGCTGCCTGGGGCTGATGGAACCTTCCAGAATCTAGGCCTCCTTCTGCCCCCTCATCACGTGCGCCTCCCCCTTCCCCCAGCCTTGCCAGCAACCCAGCTGGGTAGATTCTTGTGCAGCACTACCTGCTGCCTAGACTGGGCATTTCTCTTGGTACATGAACTTTCTCTAGTGTTCGAACCCTGCCCATGTGCCTTATGCCGGAGCCCAGTATCAAAGAAGCCAAAGTTGAGGCTCCTTAGCTGAACGAGGAAGCCCCTCACCCCAGAGGCCCCTCTGCCAAACTTCCCACAAATCTAGTCCAATCCTTGTCATATAGTATGAGGAAACTGAGGAGGAGGAAGAGCCACGATGATGAGCTACGTCTGCTCAGGCTGCTGTGACAGGTGCCCCAGGCTGGGTGGCTTATAAACGACAGGAATGAATTTCTTTCTTTTTTTTTTTTTTTTAAAGATTTTATTTATTTATTTGACAGAGATCACAAGCAGGCAGAGAGGCAGGCAGAGAGAGAGGGGGAAGCAGGCTCCCTGCTAAGCAGAGAACCCAATGTGGGGCTCGATCCCAGGACCCTGGGATCATGACCAGAGCCGAAAGCAGAGGCTTTAACCCACTGAGCCACCCAGGTGCCCCAGGGATTTATTTCTCACAGCTCTGGAGGCTGCAAGTCTGAGGTCAGGGTGCCAGCATGGCTGGGGGGCGGGACCTCTTCTGGGTCACGGTTTTGTATCCTTACATGGCAGGAGAGGCTACTTGCTCTCTGGGGCCTCTTTTGTAAGGACATGGAGCCCATTCATGATGGGTACGCTCTCACGCCCTCATCACCTCCCAAAGTCCCTACTGCCTGATACCATCATCTTGGGCATTAGGTTTTGAACATATAAATTTCAAATATTCAGACCATAGCACAAATCTGATGCAAAGGGGAAACAGCAGGGCTTGGGCCTTATCTCCTAATTTGGGAGGATTCTGCCATTTTCCTGCCATTTTCCCTGCCATTTCTACTCAGAGCCAGGGTGTGAAGCTGGGGAGGTCTGTAGGGTCCGGCCCAGGTTCACAGGGAATGTCACCCACAGAAGTTGCCAGCCGGTATCCCCCAGCTGAGGCAGCAAAACAATTTTTCTTTTCTTCAGGGGAAAGCATTACAGATGTTTTGCCAAGGGGAATTCTAGAAACACTTGTGGAAAGAGGCTTTTACATGTGTTGAAAGCTTTCTGCTTTGGGGTGTCTCTAGGCACTTCTGAGAGGTGGGCAGGATGGTGATTTATTTTGGATCCTCTGAGAAGCAGACACCAAGATGGAATGAAAGTGCAAGGGTATTATGATGGCAAACATCTGCCAGAGAACATGGGAAGGGAGCTGGGAAGGCTGGGAGAGATGTCAGACCATGATGTAAGACTCTGAGTGGAGGAGAGAGTGAGGTTGGGTGGAAGCGTTCCTGACCACCCTGTGGTCTAAGGAAGGTTCAGCAAGGCCATCAGAGCCCTTGAGCCAAGGAAGGCAACCAGAAGAGCCCCATGTCTCCCAGGAATGGGTCTGCCTCAGTATTCCTGCTGTGCTCGGGAACTGTCTAGGAGGAGCCTGAGGGAAGTCTAGCCTAAGCAGAAATGTGGTGATAGATTTCACACTGCCCTTGGTTGGTTTTACTTGCTGTCATTGGAGGTCTGTGGGACACATCCTCAGGGCCACTATAGGTGCCATTGAGACTCCCATTTTTATGGAGTCGGCAGAATTCCAGAAAAATTCCAGGGTCTGCCTGAAGTCACAAAGCAGGATGAAAACCCACCTTTCAACTCTCTTCCAGCTTCTTAAGTGATATAGATCCTAAATCCCGATGTGAGATTGATGG